TAGGAATGGAGTAGGGGCAAGACAGAAGAACATAAGACAAACAGAAATGTACAAATGTTGATTGCATTTGAAGAAGAATGTATCATTTGTTTTGACAAGAAATTTCTTCAAAAGAATAGGCTATCATAATAACATGGTGGATTTTGTGATTGTGGCTTTGGCATTGAGTTCTGTCCAGCCTGAAGAACCCCTGCTTCCTGCTACTCACTAGCAGTGAAGTGCCTGGCTTGCTACTTCCCAGTGCAGGGGAGTAAGAGGGCAGAGACTACCCGGGAGTGGGGGCAAAGGGTAAGACGGGTGGGGTGAAGACGCTGAAGGAGGTGAGAGCAGACCGGAGAATTCACAACTGTCTCTGGGAATGTGGGGATGAAGCAGAACAAAGCAAGCATCGCCGGGAGAACCAAGGACTATGTGCGGTGACAGGAATGGGACGTACCTCAGGTGAGGCCACAGTCAGAACCTGTAGCCAGTGCAAGAACCAGAGAAGCCAAAACATGCCCTGAACACTCCATAACAGAGTGAGCAGGGGGTGAGTTAAGAGCTTCAGGAGAGTCTACAAGGGGTGCATTGATCTCTCATACCAAGAACCAAAGTGGTATACATGGAAATCAAATATAAGTTTTCAATGTGAACCCTAGTGTTAAGATGCTTCTCGTTTTCAAAGGGACGGACTGGTTTCAGCAATTCTAACAACACCCAAACCCTAAGAAGGGTGTAGTAGTCTGTTTCATGTGTCACCTAGACTACATTACAGCTCCTGATTATTCAGGCAAACACTAATGGAGATGTTGCTGAGGTTTTCTTTTTTTGGATTTTTTTTTGATGTAACCAAGTACAGTTGGGCAACACTAAAGAAGATTATAAGGTAACACATAAGCCAATTTCTTGAAGTAAATCTCTTAATATACATGTCTTGTTGGTTCTATTTTTCTGGCAGAACACTGCACTACTTGAGACAATAATGCTTCAGGGATAACTGGGTGAGAAGGATTTCTTTAGCAAGAGGCACACTGATCTCCTCCCCTCAGGAGAGGCAGGGCTTCAAGGCCCAGTGATGCATTACACATGCATCCCATTGAAGAGAGCTCCGAAGTCAAAGCTGACCAGCGAGCCACCTACAACTGAGCGTAGATGCTGGCCAGACAGGACAGGACCCTGTTTGTGTCTGAAACCTTCACTTTAATGGAAGACCTAGAAGGGAACTTTGGGCAGCAACTGCTCTTAGAGCTGTCTCCTTGTTCCTCTCTTTCAGGAAGCCACCACCCAGTCCACACTGCACCTCCCATCTGGATTGAGTCCCAACAAAAACTTTGCCTGATCAGTCTCGTTTCTACCATCTTTGGACCTGGGTACCTGGCCCAAGGAACATAATGACATCTGTTCCTTTGTGGAAATCAAATACAATGCTACTACATGTATTTTCTAAAAATGCACCGGTCTGTAAGGATAGAAAGCATAAAACAGGGAAGCAAGAATGAAAATGTTATAGCAGTAATAACCTAACAGATCATACTAACATCACTTGATGCATGACAAGCTATCTGAAAACTTCTTAGTATTTCTATGGGGAAAATCAGAGAATGGAAAAACTTGCCACCAGATTTTCAGGAGCCTTTGGGGAAAAATCAAACATTCACTACAATCTGATTTAGGATTTTGAAAATCAGTTGGCAGTGCCAGAAAATACAATAATAAGTTGATATACTCATCCAGTCTGTTCAAAGCAACCTCTACACATATTACCTAAAGCTCCCTCCCTTTTGTGAGCTGCCCTTGAAAGATATACTCAAAACTCAGGATAAGATAGAATAGTTTGGCTAAGAGGATAGTATTACATAAAGATGATTTCGTGATTTGAATATATCCGCATGGGCTCATGTGTTTGAACAACTGGGTGCTGTTTTAGAAGACTGTGGAGCCTGTGGAAAGAGGTGGGTCACTAAGAGAGGCTTGAGATTCATAGCTCAAATTCACTTCCTGTCTGCTCTCTGCTTTTTGATGGACCTCCTGCCACGCTTTCCCTGTCATGATGGGATGAAGCCTCTTGAACTGAAGCTGGATAATGTCCTTCTTTCCAAAGCTGACTCGTGTTAGGTATTTTGACTGTGGCAACAAGAAAAGTGAGCCAATGGTAAAGAAAACATCTGCTTCTTGTGGTCGCTGAGCTGAGTTCTGAAAGCGTCAGCCGTCTGAAGTTCTGGGACTTGTAGAAGAACGGCAAGCGCAAAACCCCAAGACAGACGTAAAGCAGAACAAACACGAGAGAAACCGACACAGCCTAAAGAACTAGAGTTCGCCAGGCTCTGGGTTTAGTTAAACTCCGGAGTCAACCAGACTGCAAGAAGGATGATATATACTTAAAAATCGCCAGGCTTCTATACCAAAAAGCAATAGCAAATCACGAAAATGGGAAATATGGAAAACTGATATATAAAAACTGACCCAACCATATGTTAGATGTTTCCTCTGTTCCAGTCTGGTAGTGGAAGTGGGTTCAGTGGGATGCCTGCTCCACACTAGGACTCTAACGCAGCTACTCACTTATCACTGTTGCAATAACAGCTACCATCTATGGAGCACCCATTGTAATAGGTATCTTGGGTGCGTTATAGCACTCACCAAACTCCAAACAGATACCATTCTCAATTTACCACTGAAGGACTGGAACCTCAAAAAAATCAAGTCATTTGCCCACATGAGTGACAGAGCTGAGATTTAAACACAGCTCCTCTGCTCTCCTTCCACTACTCTGTGACACCCTATAAAGAACAAAGCTGGGTTCAGGGAGGGGTGGGGTGGTAGATTCTGAAAGAGATGGATGAGTACCTGGTCCTGTGAAGTTTTACTGAGTAGACCTTGTTTTTCTAAGAAAGTGATCGTGGGTGAGGATTTGGTACTCTGCCTGTGGGCTTAGCAGCCAGGTTTTTACTAAACAGGCTCAGAAGTAAATGCTCATCAGTCAAGTTTATGATCCTCACTGTGATGCAATCAGAACGCTGGTTTCAAATGCGCTTACCTAGGAAAGCACAGACTAACACACAGAACTAAGAGAATGGGTCCTCAAAAACATCTTTCAAATTTTCCTTCTTAATAGTTTCTGTATTTGTGTTTTATATGGGATGATGAAATGATGGCTATCACACAGAATATTTAGGGAATTTCCCAAATCTGTTATGGTTTTTTTTTTAAATCTCTGTCTCTGCCTCTGTGTGTGCACGTACACGCTTTTGTGCCTGTAGTGTGTGAAAATTGAGGCACACGGCACGCATGTGGAGGTCACAGGACAACCTCACACCTTTGTCTCCCACCCTGGATGAGGTCTCCAGGCAGGGTCTCTTGTTACTCGCCAAGGCATAGCCCAGCTCTCAGGCCTACAGTTTCGGGGGCTCCTCCTGCTTTTGCCTCCCACCTCATGATAGAGAGTGCCAAGATCACAGCCCTGGCTACTGCTTCCTGCTCTTGCAGATTCTGAGGATCTGGACCCGGATCCTCACACCACTTGACTTCCTGAGCCTTCTCAGCTGTCTAGAATGGCTTTTGATGTTTCTTCCCACAAGCAGATCAGAGCAGCAAATAATCTCTCAGATCACTCCACCGGCTGGGCAAAAAAGCATGTGACACGCGATGTGGCTTCAGCGGGTGGGATGTACCCACCTGAGCTTCCGTTGTAATGAAGCAAGGCAAGCTGGGCGTACCTTCTTGCAGTGCCTGAAAGATTTAGATTATTCAGAACTGGTGATACAAACCACATGCCCGGTGTCCTGAAGCCACAGGTCCCTCTGCTGACTGGGGGCTGGAGTTAGGGTTAGAGTTAGAGACATCTTCCCTTTCTACCATGATCCCATTCTCTCCCATTCTTTCCAAATTGTTGGGGACATTCAGCCTTATTTCAATAAATTCCCTTTCTGTTTAAACCAGCCAGAGTCAGAGTCAGCTACAGTGATAACTCCTTGTGGTTATATTCAGTACAAAAACAACCCGATAGTATTTCATTACACACATTGGGAGGCTGTAAACATGAAATTTTAAATGACATGGGTTAGAATCCCACTGTGAGCCATGCATGGTGACACAATGTTTGTAATCTCGGCACTTCGGAGACTGTGGCAGGAGAACTGTGAGTTTGAGGCCGATTAGTCATAGGATCCCATACATACAGACAGAGAGAATACATAGGATACCCTGACTTAGGGGCGGGGAGATGATTTAGCTGGTAAGAATGCTTGCGACACAAGCATGGGGACCTAAGTTAAAATTCCCATCACCTGTGTAAAAAGCCAGACGTCATGGCCACTCCCCCCCCCCTGCGTCCCTGGCACTGAGAGAGTGGGAGGGAGACAGGAGGATCACTGGAGCTTGCAGACCCTGTCTCAAGAGAATAAGGTAGAGAATAATAGCATGCTCACCTGTGCACACATCACATACATACACATATTTATTATTTATTTATATGAAACACAAACTTTAAAAGGACAGCCCATCTTTAAAACAAAACAAAATGGGCTCCGGGGGTAAAGATATTTGCCAATAAGTCTGACAATCTAAGCGTGGTCCCCAGGTTCCACATGGTAGGGAGAAGTTGCCTTCTTCTGACCTCCACAGAAGTCCACATTCACACACATGGACACACGATCACATTTAATAAATAAAAACAACTTTAAATATTAAAATAAAGGTTATGCCTATGTTTTGTTTTATTTGGTCCTTGTGAAATTTACAGAGGTAACAAGAGAATGACATGAACTTTGTTGAAGGGGAGCCACAGAGAAGGCATTTGTTGTGTGATACTCAGCCATCCTACCCCATCCCTGTTAAGTACCCAGAGGCTTCTTTTCCATGGGGAGAAGGACTGACTCATCTAATTCAAGGGAAGGAAGAACAACTCAGGTAGGTAAGTGTGGCCCAGCCCATCCTCCTTACCCCCCTTGCTACAAGCTCCCGGCCACTTAGCAGGCTGCCAATTATCAGATCCCCCCACTCCCCCACTGCCCGGGCACACCTTCTGAATAAGGCCTGACCTGGTCTACCTCATCTGAGAGGTGAGTCTGTCATTCTGATGCTTGGCACCAGGAAGGGCACTATTGCTGTCTCCTTACACTGTGGTTTCCATCTTGACTCAGCAGCAATAAAGGCAATAATTTAGGCCCACTTCAAGTTGCTACAGAATTTGACGAGATGATCCCTTTAAGCCTTAGACTCTAATAGATTCATGAAAATTGTCTCATATGCATTTTCAGAGAAACAGTCTACAAGCTTTAATATTTTGTTTATTTAACATTATTTTCTTCTCTCTGCCTAGGTCCAATCAAAACAGAAAAACCCACGGTAAGTTAAACAGAAAAGTTCAATATAAAGAATGAACTAAATAAGAGAACAAAGTAATTGAGGGGCCAGGTCAAGAAGTAAAGAGGACTTTAAAGGACGTAGGAATCAAGCATAAGGAGTAGCCACTGCCCCTGAGTGAGGCAGGCAGCAGAAGGAAGTCCTCTGCTACGGCCTAAGCCGGCTCAGACTGCAGGAGAGCGCTCAGTTCAGACACAGGGAAGCAGCAGTCACTGAGGCATCCTGTTCTCTGGCATCTGCTGGAGACACTGTGGCTAGGTTGCCGGGAAAGTGACTGGGGCTCCCTGGTTGCACAAAAAAATGAAACTGCTGGAGGTCGGGAGTCAGCCTTAGAAAAGTCAGTTTCTGGCCTCAGGGACCACCACCCGCCTGCCCACTGTCCTCAGGGACCACCACCCGCCTGCCCACTGTCCTCAGGGACCACCACCCGCCTGCCCACTTTCCCCCTCAAGCACCAAGTCCTTGTGGAAGCCTTTTCTCCCTCTGTGTCTTTTTAACCTGTCACTACTGACCTGAAATTTAACACTGTGATGCCTCTAGAAGACAACGCTTTTGAAGTCTGCAGACTTCCTTTTTTAGAGCTAACAGTGCCCAGAGTAAATCTGGAATCACGATGCAACAGATCCAAACTACTGATGTTCTCTTGATAGCACTGTTGCTGGGAACATTACAAATTGTGAATGAAACTATTCATATTTCTTGTTATATTTCCTCTTCTGATTCCTTCCCAGCCCACTAGAAACTAACCCCCGTGGGAACAGGGATTTCTGTCTTATTTTTAAGTGCTGAGTGTATGTGGATGGCAGTTTTGAGGAAAGATGGACCCTCCTTAAGAAAAAAAATGTCACCACTGAGGCACACAGTCTGGAAATGGGAGAGAATACACTCGTGTGGTTACATCTTAAGTGTCCCCAAGGACCTTGTGTCACTGTTTGGTTCCCAGTGAGGTGCTGTGACTTTCGAGAGGTGAGTGCTGGTGGGAGGTGTTCAGGTCAACAGGGAAATATCCTTGAAGGACATAGTGGTACCCAAGACCCCTCTTCTCTCTCTCCTTCCTTTCCCAGCCAAAAGATGCTCAGTTGCGCTCCAGCACACTCTCCTGCCATGATGTGCTGCATCCACAAAGGCCTAAAAGCACCAGGGCCCACCTATGTATGGGAACCTTGGGATTGTGGCCAAGCCTAACAGCCCGAGTTCAGTACCCGGAGCACACCTGGTGCAAGGAGAGAGCGGACTCCCGGAGGCTGTTCTCTAACTTTCACATGCATGACACAGCATGTGGACCCACACGCAAGCAAATGAATGCTAAACAATATCAAACTAGTTCCCAGCCAAAAGAGTACTGACCGATATGCCAGTAAGTAGACTCTGCAAAATCAAGCTAAACAGCAACCAACTGGGCTTCCAGAGGGGCTGAAATAAAACCCCACTGCTAGCAGAGACTGCTGTATTGCTCAACTTCCATGGAGTCTCTCAGCACAGACTCCCACACACAGGAAGCAGGCTGCTGGAGTGAGCCCACAAGAGGGTTACATCACTGGGGAATCCTCCACATTACACAGTGCTGGCCACCCCTCGGGCATTTGTACCTTCTGCTCTGTGAACAAATTCACAAGCGTTTTTAAGAAAAGCTGAAGCTCCTCCCGACCCTTGCGGTATATGCAGGAAAGGGTACAGGATGCACACTTGCCCAGTGTGACGTCTGCAATGAGGAGCTCCTTCGCTCTCCTACAGAGACTTGGAAAGGGATAGCTGATGCTTCTTCTAGCCTTTGGGTGCGGTTGTTGGGGAAATGGCTCTCAGATATAATCAGGAGTAATGTGGAAACACAGCTACAAAAGCCACCAGGTGGTGAGGCCAAACCACAGCCCCTTCTCCTTCACCCTCACATGGCACCTGTGGGAACCACTAGGATTCTCATTCACACTTGCATAGTGTAGTATTCTGCTAGGGAGATCGCGTGTCTTCTTCCCAGGCATTAAAAGACTATTCCAGGATACTTTCCTTTTCCAACAAGTTTTTCTCTCAGAAGGAACAAGTTTGTTTAGATGTGCTTTTCTGCTGCCTTAATATATATTAATAATACCTTCCTAAAACTGGCTTTTTAAAAAACATATCTTTTTATTAGTTGAGAATTTATACAATGAGTTTTGATCATATGTGCCTTCTCTCCCCTAACTCTTCCCAGGTCCACACACTTCCTTTCTCACCCAACTTTGTGTACTTTCTCCCTCTCCTACGTAGGCCAATTTGTGTTGTACAAGTATTTTTGACTATAAGGCCTTCCACAGTGGCTAATTTATCAGGGGCTATACACTTAGAGAAAGTCCTTCATTCTCAGTCGCTAACAATTGCCAATAGCTCCTCAGCTAGGGGTGAGATAGTGTACCTGACTTCCCCCTACGTGCTGGGATTTGCACAGATTTTGTTCATTCTGTCACAGATGCTGAGAGTTCTTATGTGCACATATATGGCTTTCAGTGCCATGCTACTCCAGAGGCAATAGTGGTGCTGTCCTAGAGACACTGCAGCCCAGTAGTCAGAGTGGGGAAGAAAAATGTCAGCCTCCCCTTAACACCCCAAACTTTTATGTGACCTGGTAAAGATAGAGGGAGATATCACGGCCTCCTTCCATAGAGCAGGAGGAAACTGCCCTTTCCTGGGCATACAGCACTTCCTCCAGGGCTAGAGATGCTTGCCCTTCATTCCTCTTGTGTAGTTAAGTAAATGGTTGTTTGATTATAAAAAGAAATCCTTGACTAGTTCAGAAGTTCTGAAGGTGTTTTGGGAGAACACGGTGTACCAGAACTGGCTGCCAAAAGGGAAAGGTGTAGAGAGACTGTAAGAAGAGGTAGACAAAGCCAATTTATTTATGCTCTGAGGACAGCAGCGTGCAGGAGACGGATAACCCCAGGCAGAAGGAAGATTATGGGACGAGACACCATAACCAAGGCAACTTATTTAAATAAGGCACTTAACTGGAGACTTGTTTACAGTTTCAGAGGTCGAGTTCATACCCATCATGGTCCGGAGCAGGGAAGCGGGCAGTTAGGCATGGTGCTGGAGCAGGAGGTATCTGGTCCACAGGCAGCAGGCAGAGAGAGCGTTGGGAGGAAAGAGGGGGAGAGGGAGAGGGACAGGACAAGAGAGGGATTTGGTCTGCCAAGGCCTTTAGAAACCTCAAAGCCAACTCCCATTTGTAATCCTTCCTAAGCAGACTACCCACTGGGGACCAAGCATTCAAATGGCAGCCTAGAGGAGCCCTTCTCATTCAAGTCACTGTAGTTTATATGCTAAGATAGACCTAGGCGGTCATAGCTACCTGTCATGTGCCTTGGGGTTTCTCAAAAACAATCAAAATATCCAATCTCAATTAAGGAAATAGTCTAGGGGGGTAGTAGCCAGTCAGCATTAATGATGGTTGAGTGTATGAGTAACTTTATCGTATAGGATTTGGAATGAGTGTCAAAGGTCACCTGGTGGGTAAAAAGGCTTTTATGAACAACATGGCTATTGTCATGTCAGCTGGGTCGCTACAGAAAATATCTTGCTTCACATTTATTCCTTTAAGGTCTTTAATGTCTCATGTCTCAGCTTTTGGTCTCAACAATCAGGCTTGTGTTCTGTGACTAATGCAGGATGAACTTGTTTGAAACCACACCGCATGAGTAAAGCAACTTGCTGCTGGCTACTGTCCCAGGAGGCTCCTTCCGCAGATCACAAGTGAGGGGAAACACTGTGGTTGGACACTTGCTTAGTCAGTGTGATGACTTCAGTAGGCAGAGCCCCACCAGAGAAAATGGGCTTTGAGATGTTATAGGCTGGCTTTGTGGTCTGTCCACTCTCTCCTTCCTGACTGCAGACATCAGTGTGATGAGCCACCTCACCCTCCCCACCATCAGGAACTTGTCACTTATTTAGATGTGGCCAAAACCAAACCCTTCCTCCTTTAAGTGGCTTCCCCACGTATTTTTGCCACAGCAATGAGAAGCTGACACTGGAAGTGAGACTAGTAAATGTTTTCTAACGAAACATCTACAGTGAGGCGCCTCCGAGGGACTTCAAAGTGTGGTCAAGTAAAGACGAAGGTGACACAGATTAGAGCAGAGCCCGGAAGAGTCACACTGAAGAAGTCAGAAGTTTTCCAGGCATTACAATTAGGCTTTAGCATGACTGATGATGATAAAAGATGTAGAGAATTAGGTTAGGTGTACAGATGGCTGGTCACGAAGTGTTTTGTTTTTTTTTTTTTAAAAGAAAGTCATAGCTATAAATGCTGACCGTGGCGAGTTAAGGTAGCACTAGTAAAGTTGGTAGCTTTACGGCCATGATATAGTTCTACTGGATAGGGAAGATGATTGTATTGGAAAATAAATGCATTTTGTTATCTCAACCCAGCAGCTTAAAGGAGCTCTACCTCCCTTTTCAATTTGATGGCCAACCATTCCTTTGATAATTACTTGGCTTTGTAGGTGAATGGAGCTAGACAGTGAGTCATGTAGATTTTTTAGTTGTCTCTTTTTGTACTCTAAACAGTGAGCTGGCACTCTGACTTCATAAGCCATTATCTTGGTTAATATAGTATATCCCTCAACGATGGACATATGATGTTAAATGAAGTCTTCCAAGCCCAATCTATCTTTCCACGCGGTAAGATTCACCAGGATAAGAAATGCTGTCCTCTGAGGCCTCTCACTAGAAATTACCCACTGTCCCTTGCTCAGCAAGGGATCTTATTCCTACCTAGACTATACTACCTTTAAACACAATTGTGATTTTTCTTTTAAAAAATGGTGGCAGGGAAATGGGTTTGCGTATCATTGTGGTTAATGGGAGAACCAATTTATGTGAGGCACTTGTTACACTCTCTGGGGAATAGCAGGCACTCAGCAAACACTCATGCTGACAAAGTAGGTGGCTGTCAGGACTGCGGTGTGGGGAGGACACAATACAATAACTCATTCCTCTTCTTCTCAAGGACATAGGGGAAAACTGCATCCTGCCCTGTTGACATTTTGCACAACAAATCCAATGCAACACAGCACGCTCTCTGTTGTCCCCTGTAGCTTTCACTTTACTAGCTCGGTTTAAGTTTCAATTCCTACATCGTGCAGCTCATGGATCCTTTTCTCCGAAATGATCACCCTCTCCTCCCCTCTGTCCTGTCCTCTCCCTGTGTGCAAAAACTTACTCAGAATGCAGTTTACGCATGGGCCTTAGATTGCAGTCCTCCACACACACCAGGCCTGTGCCTTTCTCAGGCCCCCAGCCCATGCAGATCCTTCCTACCATCGCTCTGTCCCTAGAGCTTCAGAGAGCCTGGCAACTTCTCAGCCCTCAAGACTCCGTGAGCGTCACGATTTCAGAGAAACCCTTCCTAACCACCTCCCGGACACCCTCACTTTAATGTCATCTTTTGTTTTGTGGCTATATGCTGTTTTCTTCGCAGTACCACTGGAAGACAACTTGGCTCATTTCCTCTGTTTCTTATATAAAGTTCTGTCTTCATCCACTAGCCAGGGTAAAGTCAGAAACCCTATCTTTCTTGTTTACCACCTGACACTCCTGAACTTGGCACACCACAGACCTCAGTAAAGATTTATGAATGCGATAAAGAATGAGTACCACCTGTTCTGGAAAGTCATAACGGCCCAGCTGAATTAAATAATCTTCCTTTGAACTTCTACTATCCTCTGGGCATGCTTCCTTGTGCAGCATGTGGGCTATCCGCTCATTGATAACTGCACAGTATTGAAAATGCCTTTCATGCACACGTCCCATGGTAGCAAGGCAACCTATGGAAAGAGGAAGGACAAGTTAAGTTATAACGCCCTAGAGCAAGGTAGTGTTGGAAACAAAACTGAGCTGATGGTGGCCACACTCAGGCCATAGAGTTTTCAGCTCACTTCCCATGAAGAATCCTCCAAAGGCCTGGGGGAAGAGAGTACCTCTTAGGAACCTCAAGTCTACTTTGGAGCTTAGCAATAGGCCAGAACTATGGGGCTACTAAAAAGTACTAGAGCTCCCTCAGGGAGAGTGATGTGGAAGGACTGACTCCTGAAGGTCTGTAGGAGCTGAAATTCTACTTGGTGAGGTGAGGTTGAAGGGTTCTGCATCAGAAGAGATGGAGAGAATGCAGGGAGCGGTGTGATGGGGCTGCTGGGTAGGATTCGGGGGAGGGGCAGCAAAGGATAGACCTGGTGAGTCTGCAGGCCATCCATTAGGATGAAGAGCCAATCCTCAAACCCAGTACACACACTGAGCCCCTCCGCTGATGAAACATCAACCCGAAAGCTCCAGAGAACCTAGAAGCCATTTTACCAAGGAGAGGGCTCAAGGTGAGAAAGCCTTAATGTGGAAATTAAACATTTAACTGACTACTATCTTAAATAAAGCTGTGCAAACCAGAGGAGACAGAAATAATTAGTGAGCCTGAGGCTTCTTCCCACTCTATCCTTGCTTACATTATCTGAGGCAGAAACAATAAAGCTCGGACTTCTGGCAGAACAGCGGTTACCTTTAGTCTTTGTGTTGTAGTACGAAAGCCAGTTCCCTGGCTCTGTTTCCTCTTTCCCAACTTCTAACCTAAACTACATACTCTTTGGGGATAGAGTCTATGTTTCCCATTTCCTTTCTTTCCTGTGGTTTAGAACACATGGGAGCCACAACCGGAAGCTGTAGCTATAAGTTTACAATTTCTGGTAACCACTTTAAAAATTAAAAAGAAACAAATAGAATTAATCAATAATATATTTATTTAACCGAAGGTGACCAAAATGTTATCATTACAATATAAAACCAATTTTAAATGATTGAGATATTTAATTGCCACCTCCTCACCCGTATGTGTGTGTGTGGGGGGTACGAAGTATACCAGGTTTTCAAGATCTGATTAGCATCTGGAATGGCTTTTACAGCACATCTCATGCAGCTAATGCTTGCCTGACTGACAGCATAGGTTTCACGTAGTTCCTGCCATAGAACAAGGAAAGAGTAAATGTTGGTTCAACGGGTGAATTTATAATACTGAACATTATCATTATATCTTCTGACTCCTTAGCAAGCTTCATTTTCCTTCCAAAGTAGGGCATTGCAACAGATTATCCTTCCTTTGATGAACTGCGGCATTTAAAGTGCTTGACCAACAACGTTTACCACCGAGCTTTAAAACCTTTTAATAGGACGTATCTTTTAACACCAGGATATTGACCTGGGTGTGCTTTGTCAAAACTTGTGGCTCGGAAAACTTGAAATCTTTCCCATAACAAATATATGTATACCTCGCCATCACTCATAGATAACAGCTGATAATTTTTAGTCTAGTATATGCTACTGTAATATTTCATAAAATCCTTGAGACTTTTTTCTAATTCAATGAAGATGCTACTACCTAATCCCCAACCTATTTTGTAGTCCACTGCTCAACTTTGTAATAATCACCATGACCACTTTGGTTTTTTGTTTGGTTGGTTTGGTTTTGGTTTGTTTTCAAGACAGAGTTTTTCTATGTAACAGTTCTGGCTATTCTGGAACTTGCTTTGTAGACCAGGCTGGCCTCGAACTTACAGAAATCTGCCTGTCTCTGCCTCCTGAGTGCTGGGATTACAGGTGTGGGCCACTGCTCAGTTAATCACTTGTTACACTGAAAATTAATTAGATCAAAAAGGCAGTGTGTGCCTGGTAGGAATTTCGGCTTGTGTCGGATGTTCGTCCTCATGACTCTCCGGCCAGTCATTTCCGACTGTACACTCGGGGACTTGGAATCATTTGTAATCCCTTTCCAAAGACAAAGGTCCAATATACCAGGAAATGTAGCTCCCCAACCCCACCCAAAATGCTGTTTATCACAACCAAACAATGACTTTCTCTTTTGGTTTATCGTCTAGTAACTTTAAGTAGGATTATCCTGGATAAAATGAGTATCAATATCAAATGGAGTCACAGCAGCTACTGAATGGACCTTGCTCTCCAAGTAACTTATGCCACTGTTCCACAGTGGTTCCGTGGCTAACGTACTTTGGTACTTTACTGTTGAGAATGTGTTACCAGGTCATGTGAACTGGAGTTTCTTGAAAATTACAGATGAAGATCTTGTAGACTGGCTGATTACTTTGTGTTTATGGGGACTTGGAATGTTGAAGATCCAGGGCCAAAATGACCTTAAGCTAACTTTAGCTCTTTTTATAGCCACTCTTCACCCATCTCAGTATCTCTGACCTGATGAGTATCAGGGAAAACCTTCCACAGGAGGCGCAGGCAGTGGTGGTGCATGCCTTTAATCCCAGAACTTGGGAGGAAGAATTAACGCAACTCTGAACCTCCCTTATTCACTCTCATCTAAGTTAAGCAGTACGGTTCCTCTATTTGAGTAGGAGAGCAGAAACGACTCTAACTTTGTTTTGTTTTTTTTAAATATTTTATGGCATATATTCATTGTACACAGTATTGGATCTCATGTCGACAAGTTATTTCAAGACCAGCCTTGCCTACAAAGCAAGTTCTAGGACAGCTATGGCTACACTGAAAGACCCTGTCTCGAGAAAAATGAAACAAAACCCAAAAAAAAAAAAACAATCAGCATGTATTAACAAAGCAGATAACGTCTTCCCACCAACCCAAATGAAGAATGTCATCACATAGCACCTGGAACCTAGAGCAGACTTTTTCCTGCATTGTTGTAACTTAACACCTGCCGTTCCCACCAGGCATTTGGTAAATGCATTCACTGTCTCTGCTCTAAGGTCGGAACAGTTCATGTGGCTTCTTCTGTGATGGAACATGTCATTCAGGGAAACACAAACCCATGGTCCCAGGCATGGTTGCTCATATTTAGTCCAGAAACAAAACAAACAACCCACCCCTTTTTTTTGTTTTGATTTTCGAGACAGGGTTTCTCTGTAGCTTTGGAGCCTGAACTAGCTGTTTTAGACTAGGCTGGCCTCTAACTCACAGAGATCCACCTGCCTCTGCCTCCCGAGTGCTGGAATTAAAGGTGTCTGCCGCCACCGTCCGGTTTTCGCTGTTGTTTTATTTGTTTGATTTTTTTTTTTTCTGGAACAACTCACCTCTTATTCCCTTTGGAGCAAGCACTGTTTTGCTTGGAGTCAGCATCTGTAGTGTACAATAAACTTCACATAGTAGTAGCAGTATGAAACATGGAATTATTAATGGCCCTTACCAGTAGTTCCAGGTGAGTAAAGGAATTGAGATAGGAAGAATTAACGCAACTCTGAAACTCCCTTATTCACTCTCACCTAAGCCAAGCAGTATGGTTCCTCTATTGAAGTAGGAGAGCAGAAACTACTCTTTGGTTTTTTTTTTAAATATTTTATGGCATATATTCATTGTACACAGTATTGGATCTCATGTCGACAAGTTATTTCAAGTATGTCATGTCATGTTGATTCGAAGGTATTAACTGGTCATCCTTCAGAGTCTCTCCGAGAGCATTCATCGTGTTTGAACTTCTCCAGTTTTCTGAGAGAGTGAGAAGGTCTTTATCCGACGATTCACTATGATGAGAATTATGGTACCCTTTTCGTCATTGAAAAAAAAATGTTTTATTTGGTAGCTACCATAGCTCAGAAGATACGATGAGCACTGGGCCAGGTGCCTGCCTTTCCCAACTCCCCAAAAAAGTCACTGAACTGGATCAGCTTCCCTTCTCGGCAAGACCTGCATCATTCTCGCTGACGCTTAATCCCTAAAATATCATATTTTAGGTTGACTCAGGAAGAACTGTCTCAATAGCAATTTCTTTAAGAACAGAGGCAGTTTTAAATTGGGTATTTAGAATACTTACAAATTTAGAAATTCAGGGTGAAGTCAGTCGTGTGCTTTAACTTGTGATGCAGGCTCACTTTGCTGCTCTGGACACTGAAAAATATCAAGACTGAATTCAAATCAAGTACTTCAAATATTTTACAGGAGAAGCATTGCTGTGGTTGCTAGGCAACCTGACAGCCTTCCAAGCCGGGACCAGCTCGCCTCCCACACTTGACCATCTCGCCCCAGCAGTGGGACGCGGAGTCGCCATTGGTCCCTAGCTCCTCTCACTGACCTTCAATTGGTCAGAGAGCCTCTCACTCCGCTCCCGTTGGCTCTCGCCGTCTCTCGCCGTCCAGCCATTGGCAGGCACGTTCTCGGGCCACCCTACGTCACCGTCTCACCCCACTTCCCCGGTCCTCCGACTTTGTCCCCGCCCCTTCCCCCGCCCTTGCATCCGCGAGGGAAAACCCTAGCGAGTCACCGCCTCTCATTTCCTTCCCATTGGCCGAAAGCGGGCTGAGGGGCGGGCGCTGCTGAGCGACTCTACGCGCCGGGATTGGCTGCGGGAGCCGCTGTCCCACCCCTTGCCGCCTCCCGGCGGTGCCGGAGTCGGGTGGGTCGGTGGCTATAAAGCTGCTGAGGGCGGGAGGCGCCGTGCACTGTCCTCCGTGGGTTGCTTCTTTCTTCAGCCGGGGTCCGGTCGCGTTTGGGTGAGTGTCCCGCGCTGGGCGGGACAACCGGCGGCCGAAGAGCCGCGGGCGGCGTACAGGGGAGGAGGCGATGTCCTTGACTAGGCCGGAAGGCACAGCGCTCTTCTCCGGTCAGGGTGAAGGTGTCGACCCGTCCGGGACTGGGTTTGTACGGGAGCTCGCGAGCCGGGGAGCCGGGGCAGACAAGGGGACCCGGTCTCCGCTGTGGGCAGGCGGGGCGCCGAGAGAAGGCAAAGAGCGTTGAGGGCCCGGTGTTCTGATGACATAGTCAGAAGTCGGAGTCGCCTCTGAGGTAGCTGTGACCACCGAAGTGGGGCATCAGCAGGGGTTGAGAAGGGAGCTGGACTGTCAGCGTTCCTCCGGTTAATGGTGGACCCCAAAGGGATGGGGAAGCCCAGACTCAGATGCAGACTAGTAGATTGGCAGGGGGTGTGTCCTACCTCCACGTACACATTGATGAGAGGAAGTGGGGAGCGTTTCTTTTCCCCAATTCGGGTGCAAGAAATAACACCTGCAATTTAGATCTAGCCAAGGACTGATGCTCTGGACATCTTTGGTATGTGGCTTGCTTAAAATAATGAGTGAGTCTCCTTTCCCTCCCTTTCGTCCTCCTCCTCCTCTTCCTCCCCCCTCCTGTTAATATCTCTACGATATTTAATAACAACAAGCCTTAAGTGTTGTGAGGATGTGATGACCCTGGGCCCACAGAACCTATCACACAGATAGACTTAGGGTTAAGTCAAGGAAATTTCAAAGCCAAGTGTATGGGAATCTTTGAAAAACGTGACCTTCTTTGATCCCTGGTAGAGAAAGAATTGCTTTGCAACATTCTGGAGGAGGGAGTTGGGGAGTAGGTGGCAGGAGGCACCTACTTGTCCTTCTTGCCAAGCTTGCCCCTGTGGCCTTGGCCTCTGGCCATCTCTGACTGCCTTCGACTACCCACCTCTTCTGCCACCCCTCCCTCCTGCTGGTGTGATTTCTGGCCTACCCGGGAGTGAGATGGTTAGCCCGTTCTGCCTGCGGCTAACATTTGCTGTATTTTAGGGATGAATTGTGAGAAGCAAGGCATGCTAACAGCACACCTGACTACTCATAGTTACAGATTTTTCCTCCCAAGCTGTGGTTTAAAATTTTACTGTACAGATTCCATCAGATTGGAGACAGACTGAAAGTCTCCATAGGTATCCACAAGTGTTTCTTTGCAGGCTGAGACTTCTGAGCAGTTTGTGTTCTTTGATCAGACTTTTACGTTTCAGCCTTTTTGGGGGGGGCATGGAGATGGAGAGCAAGGATAACCTGTCCCATGAAAAGGAGAGACTGCCTTTTCTTTGCGCCTAACATTTGTAGGTGTTTCCTAAATTAGCAAATATTTCCTGTAGCGCAATTCTGGTGTCTTCTGCAATTGCAGTTCTCAGAAGGCTTGGAAAAGCTGGGGAAGAGGGAGTATAAAGATTTCTGTTTGAAGTCAGTGAAGTCCATGTCATCTGGGCCTTGCGTTTAATTTTTGTCTTTCATAAATACCTCTTCTGATTGTTTATACGTGTCTTCTGATGGGGTTGTTTTTGATGATTTTTAAACTGAGGTTTTAGCTGCATTGCTTTCAGAAGAAACGTAGAACCCAAGACATTAATGGAACATGGGTTTTTTTGGATCTTCTAGAATGATTTAATACCTAGCTGTAGCGTTCAGTATCCAGCAAAACTTTCAGTGTGGTTGAAGAGCATGTTACAGTCTGTATCAGAGTATACACATTTTTCCATTTATGTACGCCGAAGAAGTCAAAGGTGATGATAGTTTCATTTAGAAAGGGAACATCACCTCACCACTTGATTTAGGGCTTAGAAAGCCATATAGTAGACAGCTGTGTCATTTTGAAATTAAAAAGGTTGAGAAACATGTTACCTAATTAATGGCTTCATGTTAGCACTAGAATCTTCATCTAGTCAGCCTAATACTTGGCACTTGTTGATGTTCCCTTAGTGTCTGTCAACTGAACAATAATGAGAAAGAAAGTAACCTTTCGAAGTTCGCTTTTTGCAGGGTTTGTGGATATGTGTTGGTTGTGCTAATGAATAGAAGAGTGGCAAATGTCCTTTTCTGACTTTGTTCAGATTAGGGTCTGGGAAGGATGTAAACCCATCCTTTGCTTTAAACAGTAGTGAATGAGAGCCAACTTCTGTAAACTCCCAAACAATGTTTGGCTCTATAACCTTAGCTTATCTCAGAAGTAATTACAAAAACTCCTTGGTGATGGGTACTCAGATACTTGAATGTTAAAAAAAAATGCTCTAGAATTGTTACAGCACCAAATTTAGCCAATCTTTAAGTACTCTTTACTCTAAAGTCTCTACAAATGGTCAGATCAATCAAATAAGCTGGGCATGGTTCATATCTTTAATTTCAATACTTGGTGAAGCAGAGTTAAGATAGCTTGGATCTCTGCAAGTTCGAGGCCAGCCTAGTCTACATACTGAGTTCTAGGACAACTAATCTACACAGAGACCCTGTCTCGAGAAATCAATCAACCAACAAATTGAGAAGAATCAAACTAGCCTGTCCAACTCCTCATAACTAATATTTCAGTGGCATAGGCTATACAGACTGGACTGTGAATGATGCTCTGGATAGGAACACAGGTCCTTAATTAGAAAACTCTGTAATTTACCTAGGAAAGTTTTCTAGAAAAGAGAGCTTAGAAGAGAGCCTTGAAGGATGAATAGAGGCTCCCAACCCCCATCCCATGTCATGTTTTCAACTAATGGAGCACTTGACACCAAGTCTTAATGACCCGAGTTCAGTCCCCAGGACATGGAGGTAGAAGGAAAGAAGCCATCATGGGGAGTTGTCCTTTGACTCACACACAATGGCACATGAACACACGCATACATACAGTAGATAAGTAAATGGGACTAGACTCTCTGATTGGCAGACCAGGAGTTAGGGGAGAGTCAGGACTGTGTGTGTTTTACTTGGAGATCTGGATACAGTTGTACAATGATGGTAAAGACTAACAAGTTTTGGTTATATCCTCCTAAAGAAAGATGAACATTCCAGTAGCCTGGTTTTCTCTCCAGTGACAATGCAAGAGATCAGCAAATAACTGCTTACAGTTAGTCAGGGACCAGTGTGTACTAGAGTAGTTTATCTGCGGACTTGTTTGAATCAGGGCTGGGGAATGAGCTAAAAGGAGAAATTCTGTTGAGTAAGTACAGCAAGTTCTGTTAGTCTTGGCCGAATTCAGACTGCCTGTCTCGTGCTTTGTAAGTCTCCATGCCTTTGTTGTGGTGTGTGTGGCCGCTTGCAGCTCTTTAACTGCCTCTTGATCCCTGTTGGTTCCTCTTACGTGCTCCGTAGAGATGTTAGTCTAACTTTAGATTTTGTCACTATGGGCTCTGTATCCTTTATCAGAAATGCTTGATTCTGGAAGTAAACTTCATGTTTTGAAACACTTGCACGCTTGTGTGTTTGTGTGTGTTTGTGTAAGGAAGGGAGAGATTGATTTTGTAGATAAGTCCAAAGGTAAAATTAATGTTTCACATACACCTTACACACCGAGTCTGGAGATACGGCATTCGTAGTTTTGCAAGCATATTGACTGACCTGTCGCACGAGTTCAGGTGCGTTTCTACACGCAGCATCATGTCAGCATTGGAAAGCTTGGATTGGTGCACCTAGACTTCAGGTTTTTCCAATCAAAGGTGCAGAACTGCGTCCTGCCAGCAACTGTAGACTAGAATCTAAAGCTTATGCCTCTCTGGTGGGGTCGTCTCCCAGATGCCGTTCCTCTCTTGTGGGAATCATACAGACTTTATGTCGTCTGTAATTAGCACTGCAGCCCTTCCGACTGTTCCTTCTCTGCATTGATGTGCTCAGGCTCTCTATGGGTGTCTTTCAACACCCTCCTCCTGTTTTCCCTCCCCAGTTTAATCAAAGTAGGGAGAGGACTGAGGGTGTGGCCACTACTTGACTGGCAGAAGGGAGGCCCTAGTTGGATCCCAGCACTGTGAAAATAAACAAGTGGAAAAGGTGTATGGTGGTATTTCAGGGGAAATGCCTTTGCTGCAAATTAGTCATGGCTTCAAGAAGTTAGTAAGTTGTTGCACCTCAACATGGGGAAGGAATGGTATTTTCTACCCTACCGAGAATGGTCTTGACTTGGCCTCCTTAGTTGACAGATAACACAGCATAATTTGAAACAATAAGGAATAAAAGATAAGCTATTTCCTGAAAGTGTATATATAGTGCTGTAATCAAAGGCTTTCCCCCTTTGGAATGTAATATTCTCTTACAAATTCAAGGTTTGCTTATTCTGGGGCTGCAGTAGTTCAGTGTTGTCGAGCATTTGCCTCCCTTGGAGTGTTGGTGCCTGACCTTACCAAGCAGTTCCCACGTTTCGTCTTCTCAGTAGCCCTTCAGAGTGAACTGGTGGGGGTGGGTACCTTGATTTTTCAGGTGATGAAATTGAAATTCAAAGAGGCACAAATTATTGCTGAAACTCCTTTAGTGCCAATAAGCTGGAAACTGTAGGACTCTTTATTCTAGAAGCTTACTAGCCCCGTAGAGTTTACTACGGTTTTTTAATCCCAGTTCTTGGTAGCGCATGTTTATGAGACGACCGCTACTCTCCCAGCATCATAGTCTGCAGTCTGAGTGATGTTGAAATGTTGGTTCCTCAGCAGAGCCGTAAGGCT